TTTTACCTTGTCAATACATAGGCGAAACTTTTATAAAGAATAGTTTTTTTTTCATTTAGGCCTTCGTTTTTCGTCAAATGAGAGGTATATTTCTAAAAGAAGATTTTTTATACAAATTTGTAGACGGTTGAAACTGAGACATTTAAATTTTTTTTCGATCATAAGGGCTAATGTAAATGATTTTTTTTAAATAATTATAAAAAAATACTTTCTACAAAGACTTAATTGAGCATTAGAACAAAAAATAGGCATTTTTAACCAAATTAGATGTAATTTCATTAAATTAGATGTAATAATTTTCAACAAATTCCAAAACCTAGTGATGTTAGATTGGAAGTGGCAACAGGGCTTACACCGGCAAGAAAAGTTACGTTAAGTAGTAAAAGCTCGGGCAGTAATTCATTGATAAAACTATGTAAAATTCTTCACTGTATCCCTTCTTTTACTTCTCACCTTTCGTCGCCTCGCCCCGCGTCTAGAAATAGAATGTTTTGAGTGCGAACTGTTCTTGGCACCATGAATATTATATTTTATGAATGACTTCTTATATCTCTGTTATCTCTGCTTTGATCATTAATAACTCGGAATCTGGAGCTTTAAACAGAAAATTAATTAGCTACTCTTTTTCAAAAATTTTTGATTTTTTGGTTTATAACCTCTATTTTTTTGTTTGAGAAACGCTATTAACTTGTTGAATTTCGAAATAATATCAACTTTGTTTTCATATCTTATGGTGCTCTTAAGCATAGAATAAATCGACCATAGGGTAGAAGGTTCGCAATTATTTAATTTATCAGAGATATACGCTAAAATAACGTTTTGCGAATATTTTGTCACTTTATTCTTCATACATTCTATAAATGCATTGTAGTTTTGCTCATAAATATATGCATATTTTTCTGGAATAAATTTTCAGTGGCCTTTTTTGCACTGTATAAGATATCTGGGGGAATATTATCAAATTCGCTAAATAAATTTGAATCCTTATTGATTATGACAGATATAAACTGAAAATAAAATTTAAATTTAAGTAAACAAACATTAATAAGTTAAACTTTTTACCTTCTTAAAATTGTTTCTGTTTTAATGAATAGTAAATTGGCTTTATAAATTATTCTTGAACTTATACTTTTGTCGTGTTCTGTGATGATATACCACATAGTTTGATTTTCTCTTACTATACGGAGAATGGTCGCACAGCGCAGCTTTCTGAGTGCCTTTTAAAAGGAGATAGAAAACTCCGCCATTTTGATTCTTTATTACGTGTTGCCTACATCTTGGCGCAATATTTTTAATAGGTTCGTTTTAATCATCCGCTTCTGCTTCGGAATTGTCGTTTTTCTTATTTTACTCTGACAGGTTAAAACGACTAAACCGACAATTCCGGAAGCAGAAGCGGATGATTAAAACGCACCTGATATTTTGCTTGCTGTTGTCAGTGTCAGTGAATATTATTTTTGGAGTCACAGTTTATTGCTAAAGAATCAGTTAGCTCACTCGGATCAGTTGAAAGTTCCAAAATAACATCCACTCCAGGGATACAAATTTAGGATGCGCAGAAGACTGCTGTTTTATTATAGGCGGTTGTCATATATTGTACTATCCGAGTTGCGCAGTGTATAAACTGGAACATTGAGAACAAAAGTGTCGACGCAGAGTGAGCGAACTGATTCTTTAGCTATAAACTGTGGTAAAGGCATCAACATGGCCGCGTCCTATGTTGGGCGTGTCGGACCTCTCTCTTGCACCTTATAGTAATCAAAGTATGTGTGATTTACTAATAAAAGTTTAGAGATTGACAGTTCTTCCAATCCACACAGCCACGGCCTACTTACTTCTACCAAAATCGACTTCCACGGTTTGTTTACTTTTAATGAAATCGATGACATTTAGAGAAAATTATAATTAAAATGAAAATCTGTTGATAATTTGTTGGACCACTAAATAAATAAAAACAAAAATAATTTATTTATGTTTTAGAAGGAGATAGCATAAAAATATAAAATAAAACGTTATATTTTGTTGCTATGTACAATTTTTGTCAAATTTAACTTTTTTCACTAGTGCGTAAAGAGTTTTACTTTACCCACTAATAAAAAAAGTACAACTTTACGCACTCTGTGAAGTGCGTAAAGTATGTACTTTACACACGATAGTAGAAAAACGTTATTTTCCCAGTTATTTAAAAATAACCAACTTCCTATTATTGTGATAAAAATATAGACAATTCTTTAACACGTCACGTCATTGAAATTAAAATTAAGGAAAGCATCCGTAGCGATATTGTTTGATTTAACGATTTGGATGACCCCGATTACCTGTACAATATTTGTCAATGTGCCAAAGAAAATAACCTAGGTTACTTCTACTACCACTTCTAAATATTCAGTTTGAATAGGGACTGCAACTCGTATTTTTTATTTCCAATGAAATAAATTTCGTGCATTTGTTTTTTGACAAATTCAAAATGTTTGGTATGTAGTTGAACGTAAAGAAAGTTTTTTAAATCAAACTTGTTCTCCACATTTTGATTATCGCGTACAACTTAATTAAAATTTTATAACTTGTTTTCACTACTATGTACAAAAAAATCTTGCGCGACAAAAGTAGGTAGGTCAACGTAAATAATATAATAATTTTGTTTTGATATAAAATATAGTCTTATTTATTTCTTGACAACAAAAATAGCTATTTTAGAAACCAGTTACGAAATGCCTTATTTTATGTAACGAGTGAATATTTACGGGACGAGTAAAACGAACATGATTTACATAAAACGGCATTTCGTAACGAGTTACATACATATTTTTTTCTAATTTTCACTAGATTATTTGTAAAATTGTATTTTGGTAAAAAATTATCAAAATTACTGACATCTAGGCAACCAATATTACTACTTGTATTGTTAGTTGCATATGATTAAGTTCATTCTTTTATTGACAAATAGAAAATCATATTAATTTATTCTCAACGACTTATTGTAGTGTTTATATTGTTTGTTAAAGTTATTTAGATTTTATGAAAGTGGGCTTTTTGTCGTGTATTGTGTTTTGATTATTTTGTCTTGTATTTTGTTTTAATTATTTTGTGCTGATTTAGAATGGAAAATAAGTATCAAAACAACATTATTACTAGGGTGTAAGTTTAACCAAATTCTATTTTTATAAGTCAACCTTCCTTTCTTTGTTATAACTTTTCAATAATAATTATATATTATTGATTTTAAAACCGTAAAAGATTTATTTTTATTTGTTCTCTTTTCGCAACTGGTGGACATAATGAATTTTTCGAAACCAGTTTCATAATATTTAACATTATGCAACTGGTTGCGTAAAGTAGATAATTACACTTACTGCGATAACAAAAAAATGTCATTTATTTGTCAAAATTAGAAAAAATATAATTAGGAACTAGGTCAAACAAAAAGTAGGTAAGTCATATCTATAAAATTTGCTTGTTCTATCCCGATGATCTTAGTAGTATATTTATATTATGGACCAAAAAACTAAAGTGGCTCTTTTCCGAATGTGAAGATTGTATTTCATATTCACCTAAAAACTCATATTAAAATACTAAAATTTGTTTAAAAAATAAGCTAAAAAAGTGGCAATGTTATATTAGTCCAAGCGGTAGGTGGTTTCTATTGGCAAAAGGTCAGAAGGAAATGAAATTTGGTGGGATGGTAGACATGGATCCCTTGATACTACACCTAAGTTTGCGAGGGATGAAAACTGTGTCGCGACGCTTTTAGAAAAATACCGCCGTTGTGGTAAGTGCTATCGAAAAAAAGTTCAAATAAAATATGTACGAGACAAAATCGTGCCCAATTTTGATTTTTATATTTTTTTGTCTGCGACCAATAGTTTCCACTCTACGACGCGCCAAAGTAGGGGTTGATTTGCAATGTTCAATAAAATGAGAATTTCAGCGCGGATTAAGTCGAAGTTCGCTATGAAACAATTTTGTAATATTTTTTTTCTAAAAGTAATGATTTCTGAGTCTGCAGATGCCCGATTTGATACATTTGGTCATACAGGGTGCTTCTAAATTCATGCGACAAAATTCAGGAGGTGATTAAGATGGGTCTTTCCTATAACAAAATTTCCTCAGCCCACCCCTTTCCGAGATATCACCCTTAAAAGGTGGTGACTAAAATTGAGTTTTTATTTTTTTTTTTCTAAAATTTCAGTAGAGCTAGAAACTTAAAATTTTGTAATTTTCGTGAACTCGCAAAGGACTAACCACGGATATTTTTTCAATATCCCTGTTACATTATAGAAGGGTGAAATTAGCATCCCTTACTTTATTTCAAATCAAAACTTTTTTTCGAGATGAAGTTTTATGAAATAAAATTATAACTTGAAATCCTAGTTTTATTTAAATTTTTATTCTTAAATTTTTTTCCCTAAACCAATAGCTGCAGAGAAAAAAAATAAACACCATAATTTATAATTTTTTTAATAAATTAAGTGGATAACAGTAAATATGTAAAATGTAATACGATTCATAATAAATGCTGGAAATGATCACCTCTAGCCAAAATAGCTTTACTGAAATTTTAGAAAAAAAAATAACTCAATTTTAGTCACCACCTTTTAAGAGCGATATCTCGGAAAGGGGAGGGCTGAGGAAATTTTGTTATAGAAAAGACCCCTCTTAATTTCGAACGAGGAATCACCTGAATTTTGTCGCATCAATTTAGAAACACCCTGTATATAATAAATGATTTTATGTTTTGAAGCGATCCCCTACATATTCCGATATGGTCAATATTTCCTTATTATTGTTCACCTAGGCGCCTAATCATTTTATAATCCGGCTAGCAAAATAATTAAAGGTAAATGAAAACTTGACAATTTGGCCGCTATTTATAAAACGCTTAGGCAATTTATAAAACGCCGGGTTTGGTAATCTAGCTACGACATAATATACATAATACTATATTCTCATATATGAAGAGGATGATGCGCAAAGCCCTTAAAGTTTGTTTTCTATTTCAGGTAGCGAGTATGCGAATGAAAGTGTCTAGTACTCCGACGAACGTCAACACCTTGGACCAATCGATGGAAGAGAACATTTCAATAATATGCGAAGGTGTCGGTCTTGGTGCGAAGCGTAGGAGTGACTACTCGCCTTCTAAGGAGAATCACTTGTTTGGTATCGGTAAGTCGTTTGTTACACTTATTTTACATTTGATTTCTCTTTTTGTTTTGTTACGGACTTGAACATTTTAGGTGAGTAAGATTTTTCTTTACACGCCATTCGATTCAATTCAATTTATTTTACATTATGTTGCATTAAATTTATTTAAAAAAAATAAGATATAAATGTGCGCGAAGACTGTCAAAAATGTTTTGTTGAACTCGATAGGCGAGAGACTAGGCAAGGACGAATTCGGAAACATCGACTAAAGTGACATTTTAAAAGCAAAAACTGACTGAACAAGATAATAAAATGGTGTTGTTTTTAGCAATACCTTTTGCATTTGTAAACATTTTTCCATTTTTCAATCAATTAATTGACAAACCAAGTTTTGTGATTTCAATTTGATGTATTTTGTCAAAACTTTGATCTAAATAGTATTTTCATTTTTATATCAAATAACCAAAAAATATACAAAAACATTGTTGCCCGAAAAATAAAAAAATATTTTTGTGAAAGCCCATGAAATTTTATACAAAAAAATAATATATTTTTTAATTTTCAAAAAAATCTAGAATTGCATAAACCATCGATTTTGTGATAAAGTTGTTCAATGTTAAAAACAACCTTAAATTTAAATAATAAATTCGATATTAGTATACAGGGTGTTTCAGATTTAAACGGACACAGTTTAATGGGAGGTAGAGTAACTTAGCTGAGTTCAAAACACTCCCACACTTAGCCTTTAATCTCACTCGTTTCTGAGATATAGGGTGTTTTATGATTTTTTTCCAAAACTAAAGTCGGCCATTTTGTTTGAACGGCTAGAGCTATTCTGATAACATTTTGTACAAAAGTTACACTCTCTTAGGTTAATCAAAGCCATAATTTAATTTTAATTTTTTTTATATTACTCTTCTTAGCTAGAATATCACCCGGTATATCGGATTTTAATAAATGTTACTGCACATTTAAATAGTACGTGGATCAATAAATAAAATAATGTAATAATATTTAATGGTACCATTTTGATTTTCATACAGTAAATTTTTATAATGACTACTACAATGTTATAAATCAGTATTTACAAAATTGAAATCAAATATTTTACTCTGTATTTTTAAAACTCTACACATATTCATTTATTTTTAACTACTTCATTTTCCAATAAGAAATTGAACATCTAGACAGGACCGGGCTCACTTTATTTGATAAAGTAACAAAACAAACTAACAGAAATAAATAATTAATTAAAACTAAAGTAGATTTTCAAAATGAACACCGTAAACGTCAATACACCTCTGCGAATGTTTTAACAAGTTTTTCACTGATTTGTCAATTATTTCCGGTTTATTTCTAATATTGTTACATACATTATTAATTTTTTCTAATAACTGTGCTGGGGTATTCATTTCTTCGTTGTACACCTCTGATTTAAGGTAGCCCCATAAACAATAATCCAGAGGTGTTAGGTCTGGAGACCTTGATGGCCAATTGACGGATCCGCCTCGACGTATCCATCAATTTCGGCCAGTATTTATAAATGAGGCCCAGCACCATCGTGTTGAAACCACATTCCTCTGGTATTAATCCCTTCTAACATATTTGGTAGGATTTCTCTAAGGAAATTTAAATGAACTTCAGCTGTTAATCTGCCTTCAAAAACATGAGAGCCTATTAAATGATTTTTATAAATACCACACCAAACATCTATAGAAAATCTATATTGGTAATGTTTTTGTGATACAGTGTGAGGATTTTCATTTGCCCAATTATGACCATTCCTAGTGTTATTGATCCCATCACGTGTAAATTGAGATTCATCAGTAAATAAAATTCTCGATATTCTCTTTCTGTGTGCCAAAGTCCATCTACAAAAGAATAAGCGGGGTACGTCGTCTCCGTGTTCAAGTCGCTGTACTTTTTGTACATGAAATGGATGCTTACACTGATAGAAGGATTATTTCGAGCTATCTGTAGTATCTCCTCTTCTTGTCGAAGATTGTTTCTCGGAGCATGTTCATGTTTAACTGTAATTGGAAACTTTCCATGTTGCTTACTAAATTCGAAAACCTGCAAAAATGTCTTAGAATTTGGTAAACGGCGTTTTGGAAAGCGTCTGCGATACTCTCTTCTGCTGCTCTACCGTTTCAGTTACAAAAACTGAAAATAATGTCTGCATATTCTTCATTACTAAATTGAAATGGCATCCTGAAATACTTATTTTCATACCATTAGAACAAAAGTAATTTAACTCAAAATACTGTTCATATTATAAATGATATTATTTGACACAAGCCTACTGGTAATATACAATTTTACATTAATCATGTTTAGGACGCAATGAGTGATGCTGTAATTTGGCGCATATTGGCAGTTGACTAAATTGAGTTTTCAGCTCGTTTATAAAATACCTAGTTTTTGAACTTTTAAATTTGATTTCATCAGAGTTTTAGTTCGTTTAAGTTTTAGTTCATTTTAATTTCCAAATATAATTACCTACATATGAACGTGGAGAGAGGAATTAATGAGGTGGTTTAAAATCATCTTTCTGTTAGTGTAAGAATTAGTAATGAATAAGCAGTACCTAGGTACCAAAAACAAGTGTATGGAGAACTTAAAAAAATTAAATTTGTATCTATTTTATGTACAAAAAGTACAGTGACTTGAACATACATAAAATGTTTGGTGTGGAATTTATATAAAATCACATAATACCCAATCATAATTATTGAAAAAAATTAACAATGTATGTAACAACATTAGAAATAAACCGAAAATAATTGACAAATCAGTGTAAAACCTGTTAAAACGTTCGCAGAGGTGTATTGACGTTCATGGTGTTCATTTTGAAAATCTACTTTAGTTTTAATTATTTGTTTCTGGTTGTTCTATTACTTTAAGAAAATCAAGATGGGGCCATTTAATATTATTACATTATTTTATTTATTGATTCACGTACTATTTAAATGTGCAGTAACATTTATTAAAATCTGATATACAGGGTGATACTCTAGCTAAGAAGAGCAATATAAAAAAAAGAGTCCGGTCCTGGAGTTTTTTAAAATTAAATTGTGGTTTTGATTAACCTAAGAGAGTGTAACTTTTGTACAAAATTTTATCAAAATATCTCTAACCGTTCAAACAAAATGGCCGATTTTAGTTTTGGCAAAAATCATAAAACACCCTATATCTCAGAAACGAGTAAGATTAAAGACTAAGTATGGGGATGTTTTGAACTCAGCTGTGTACTGTACCTCCCAATAAGGTGTGTCCATTTAAATCTGAAACCCCCTATTTATACAAAACAGTTACAAAGGCATTACCAAAAAAGTACAAAGTACCTACTTATCCAAAATCAACTTTATAAGAATCAGTCATTTTTGTTTCTATATTCATAATTTTTAAGTTAAGACTCTAACGTCATATTTGATTTCCTATGTTTTCTTATTTATTTTATCTTCAACTATCCCACGTGACCAAATTGATGTCACCAATTAGCCAAAAATAAAATTAATAACTTCAGTAGTAACTTCAAAACAATGATTTGTCTTATTTGATACAATTGAAAATTAAGTTTTCCCAATAGTCACTAAAAATACAATAAAGTGTCTTGTTTTACTAGATCACAAGGAATGCGGGCATTGTTGATGACTGTATGATTGTGGATTAAAGATTTGCCCTAAGATTAATTTTTTTCAAGTGCGGTTGGTCTAAGATAAAATATTGGAATATGAGTGTGAAGAACTTTTGCACAAATTAATTATATATTTTTTGTTTCCCACCCTGTTTTAATATAGGCTAGTTGCTAGGGCCATCTTAGACCGTCCTGGGGCGCTTATGCACTTAGGGACCCTTTTAGAAATCAAAACAAAAATATAAGAATTAAAACACAGGAGTGTACTTTTGTTTTATAAGTATTAGTTACGCTAGTTAGCTAAAATTTTGTTTGCTGTCAAAGTGACAGTAAAGTTGTACATCAATAATTGAAATAATCGAAAATTTATGGTGATTTTTTATATTGAGTATTTTAACTTTAGACTAGGTAATAAAGAGAGGACTCATAACGCCGCTGAAAATCTTGTTCCATTCTGACACCAACGATAGGGATCCGAAATTAAGATCGCAGCGCCACCTAACACACTCGTCGAAAACACTCATTTATACATTATAACAGCTGACTAGCATTTGTTTATATGTGAGAAGAAGCTGTTTTCATCTTATTTTTCGTTTTTTCTTTTATATTTTTAAAAAATATATTAAGAATACATATTTGTATAAATTAAATAGTGTGAATTTTAGTGGTTCATTAGTTTTATTTAGTTTCTAAAAACATTAAGGAACACTTTGCGTGATATTTTTAGGTTAAGACAAATTTGCTGAATCTATTTTTCCTGGTAAGTGATTTATTTTAGTAGAATATTGTCTTTTTATTTAATTTAGAATTAGTAATAAAATCGACATTTTTAGAACTATAACCAATTCTGTTTTTAAAAATTGTTACATCAAAAATAATTATTTTTTAGGATCATGTCTGATATTCGACTGAGCTTGTTAGATGTAATGGAGTATTTGGGTGGGACAAAAAACTCCAGGTGTATTTATGAAGGAGAGGCTATTTTAAATTCTGGACATATTGTTTTATGTGGGAAGAGCGGAAGTGATGAAAATCACATCTCGGTATATGCCCTTGTTCTCCAGACAAGTGCAATAAGTTCTGATCCCCATACTATACAGGGTCAGTTAATAACAATTTGTGACAAAGTAAAAGTTGGCAAATGGAGTTGTTCCTGTAAGGCTGGTAACAGTGGGCACTGTAAACATATTTCAGGAGTTCTTATAAAATGTACCAGGTGTATAATGTTTCAAAAAAAAGCGCTATCATGCAAAAACGATTGAACACATAATATTTTCACCAACTAATTAGTGTTTTTCTTTTTCTGTTCTTTTTTTTTGTGTTTTAGGGAAAATCTTTCTACATTAGAACTGGTTTCACAAACTGACATAAAATGTATGTGGGC